AGACCCCCCCCCCATATCCCCCCCCAAATCCTCCTCCCCAGCCCCTGAGAGACCCCAGACCCCCCCCCAAACCCCCCTCACCTCCTCCAGGGCCGGGGGCAGCCCCTCGGGCCGGGGGTCCCCGCTGCGGCCGGGGGTGACGAGGCAGGAGAGCAGGGCCACGCTCTCCTCGGGCCGCAGCGGGGCCAGGACGTTCCCCAGGAGCAGCTCCGTCAGCACCAGCTGCTCCGCGCTCAGCAGCGCGGCCACGCGGCCCCCCAGCGCCACCGCGCCCCCCGAGATGTACCCCAGCTCTGTGAGCACCTGGGGGGGTCACACGGGGGTCATGGGGTCACTCAGGGGTCATGGGGTCACTCAGGGGTCACTCAGGGGTCACTCAGGGGTCACACAGGTCACACATGGCCACGCGGCCCCCCAGCGCCACCGCGCCCCCCGAGATGTACCCCAGCTCTGTGAGCACCTGGGGGGGTCACACGGGGGTCATGGGGTCACTCAGGGGTCATGGGGTCACTCAGGGGTCACTCAGGGGTCACTCAGGGGTCACACAGGTCACACATGGCCACGCGGCCCCCCAGCGCCACCGCGCCCCCCGAGATGTACCCCAGCTCTGTGAGCACCTGGGGGGGTCACACGGGGGTCATGGGGTCACTCAGGGGTCATTGAGGGGTCATGGGGTCACTCAGGGGTCACTCAGGGGTCACTCAGGGGTCACACAGGTCACACATGGCCACGCGGCCCCCCAGCGCCACCGCGCCCCCCGAGATGTACCCCAGCTCTGTGAGCACCTGGGGGGGTCACACGGGGGTCATGGGGTCACTCAGGGGTCACTCAGGGGTCATGGGGTCACTCAGGGGTCACTCAGGGGTCACACGCGGCCCCCCAGCGCCACCGCGCCCCCCGAGATGTACCCCAGCTCTGTGAGCACCTGGGGGGGTCACACAGGGGTCACTCGGGGGTCATGGGGTCACTCAGGGGTCATGGGGTCACTCAGGGGTCACTCAGGGGTCACTCAGGGGTCACTCAGGGGTCACAGGACCCAGGGGAGGTCCCCATGTCCACGCCCTGCTGGCACTCGGGCAGCAGCAGCAGCGGTGATTTGGGGCTCACTGGGGGGGTTTGGGGGGGATTTTGGGGGTCCCGGGGGGTCAGAGGGAGCACGGGGACCCCCCAGATTCACCTTCTGGCCCATGTCCACCTTGGTGAAGGTGAAGGTCTGCAGGTGGGCGCTGGAGGCTCGGATGGCCGGAGCCACGCTCTCCTGGAGCAGCTTCTCCATGAACTGCCCGAAAAACGGCCAGGCCTGCGCCACGACCTGCCGGACACCGGGGGGGACACCGGGGGGGACATTGGGGACACCGGGAGGGACACTGGGGACACCGGGAGGGACACTGGGGACACCAGGGACACCGGGAGGGACACTGGGGACACCGGGAGGGACATTGGGGACA